GCTAACGTCCCAACTTTTGAGGTACAGGGTATCAAAGTTGAACATATACATGGATTCTTTTTTGTCCACCCTGTATAGATTTTTCTGACAAAATTTATTCTGCTATGTGACTGAAACGGTGCAAAAATTTCAAAACGTTACATACTGTGGTTATCCAGTAATAGCTGTCCTGAATGGAGTACTCAAGCTTAGCATTTACATCATAATTTGAAGTTTGATCTCGTTTCTTCGTTTTTTCTCGGAAACGGAGCCACCTTGTCGTGTATCAACTTTTTATAGTATTTTATTAAATTTGGAAATATTCCTCCGTTGCTCACTTTCAAGTAGAATATAATCAATCATATCACCCTAACGGCGCCACTGGTAGAGAAAAGGAAAATTTGTATACAACAAAAAATGCACCTTGATGCATAGAAGATATGTACCAGATTTCATAAAGATGAATACAATATTATTCCAGTTATTAAAACTGCTTTATTTTCGAAACTTTCTCACAATGTATCTCAAAAGTAAGACTTTTAGGACATACGACGTAAGTGGGAAGTTTTTTTTCTTGAAATGCGTTGAAGAATTACACCCTTGAATATTAGCATGTCTTCAAGGAACATCATTTTCGGACCCATGTTCATATGAACTTTTTTCCATATCTTGACTCATCCTAATACAATTGTGTATGTTGTCCTAAAAGAAATGAAGTGATTTGATTTGAAGCATTTTTGGACCCAACTTCATATGAACTTTGTTCCATATTTTTTTGAGAGGAATCTTCCCTATAGCCTTTTGTCACCACAACTCTGAAACACCCTGTATACCATCACGATTCTAATTCGTCAAACAATTCCAATGTTGTTACCTCACCTCTTTCCAGTTCCAACAATGTAGGTGTTGGTACCTTGCAGAGTCATCATTCCAGGGTTACATCCTAGAATTCTGATGATTCTGGAAGAGATTTTCGTCACAGCAGGGATCACCGCAGCCATTTTTCTTCAGGTGACAAGAATAAACAGAAACGAATTCTCGGAAAAATAATATTATTATCAGGGTCACCTTCAGACTGTAGAACCTGAAAAATAAACAGATTCGATGTATTGTAAATTAATAAGTTTAAATGAAATTGATGAACTAGAAAATTCAACCACAAAATACGACCTAGTTTAGCAATGAATTGATATTTTTTATCCATTTAATATAGTAATTAAAGACGAAGTAGGTAAACACACAGGTATACACATTAAACAAATATAATAAAGGTTATTTGTCTTGAATACCGGGTGGCAATCAAATCGTTGTACCATGAACAAATATTTATTATCGTTAAATGTCGATTCCTGACCAGAGCCGGGTTTAGAGGTCTGGAGGCCCGCTGGCTCCTAATTGTTTTCCATATAAAATTGACAAATTTCTCGATCAATAATTTTTTGCGAAACCAACTAAATTATTTTAACATATACATGGTGTTTCTTAAGTAGGTGTAGAACATTCAGGAGCATGTTGCTGACGTTTGAATAAAAACAAAAGTTTGAATAAAAACAAAACAAACCAAATTTCACTCTATATAATATCACGTTCATTTCTGAATTTACTCACGATAAAACAGGAAAAATAATCGAACTTTGACACCTTGTATCTCAGAAATAAATAATTTGCGGACATATTTTTATACGAACTTTTCTTCTCACTTTGACGTCAGCAACATGCTCCTGTAATTTTTACGCGTACTTAAGAAAAAACACCCAGTAGAAATATTGTCAAACACAAGAATTATCTGAAAGAAGATTTTGTCCCATCGAAGTTCAAAGCCTATTTTTAATTGGAGATGAATATTCTCAGATATAATAATGAACTTAGAAGAATATATAAAGAAATACATTGAGAATTCGCATTCTCTATGTGATGAAAATATCAATTCTTTCTCGGTTTATTCAACAGAAAACAACTACTTTCCTGATAGCTATATGCCACGACAAACATTGAATTATATCTATTGAACACACACGATAAGAATTTGAAAACAAAATCTTCTGAAGTAGAGAATTTGCATTCTCCTTCATATAACGATATGCACATAATATAATTCTGAATATTCAACAGAAAACAACTACTTTCCTGGCTATTTGCCACGTCGAACATTGAATTATATCTGTTGAGCATCCAAAAAGAGAGCATGAAAAAGATCGAAATCCTCTGAAATTGAGAATTGACATTATCTCTCAAATCGGATAAAATAATATGATGTTATTATAATTTTCATTTTTGAAAATGAGCGTTTTCCAGTGCAATTCGATGTTATCAATATCAAATACATTCTCAGTGCAATTTCAATGTTCGGGAATGTAAGTCTTGAACTCTCATCTTCAAGAATGTCGTATTGAAATACCTCAATAGATTGGTTTTTTCCATAGTCCTCTTTAATGAAAACAAGTATTGCCCCACTCAGCCATTGGGATACTCTATCAAGATGGGTAGTTAATGGCAACACAATTGCTTATTAGGGCCATTTTGTAAAGAAATATATACAGTGAGGACGTAAAAAGTCCTCCTCCCCCTTTAACCTTTGAACGGAACAAGCTAGCGAGGTCGGGTAAAATCCAGGCAAAAAGGTACTTCTTTCACTACTATTTGGCATGAAAATGGTTGTGGTCACGTGACATAGTGTCAAGTGGGCACCATCAACTTTTTTTTTTAAATGTGAAGAGGGGTCACGTGGTACCTTGTTTTGAAGGCCTTTCGATTCTCTATCCAACTCTGCATTGTGTGTGAAAATCAGTCAAGCCGTTTCAAAATGACAAGCGTTTGAAATGTACCTGGGAAACAGTAAATCACGTTCGGATTGAATTCCAAAACCGATTTTTCAGTGTCAATAAGTGAACGATGAACATTTCGAGCATGTTTGAGCACTTGTTACAATTCCTACTTGAAATCATGTTGCAATTGAAATTTATTCAGATTTTTTATGCATTAATATTAATATTTGAAGCAAATTTCAAACGCTTGTCATTTTGAAACGGCTTGGCCGATTTGTACAAACGAAGCGGTGTTGGATAGAGAATCTAAAGGCCTTCAAAACAAGGTACTACGTGACCCCTCTTTGAATTTGAAAAAAAAAAGTTGATGGTGCCCACTTGATACTAGGTCACGTGACCACAACCATTTTCATGCCAAATAGTAGTAAAAGAGGTACCTTTTTGCCTGAATTTTACCCGACCTCGCTAGCTTGTTCCGTTCAAAGGTAAAAGGAGGGGGAGGACTTTTTACGTCCTCACTATATAATTAAATCATTTTTCAATATTTGAGACTAATATAATCATGTTCCTACAAAGTACTGAGGGTAAAACAACGAACTTAACTTTTCCATAAAAAATATTGAAGCAAAAGTTGTTCACTAGAGTTTACCCGTCGAAATTCGAAAGCTTTTTTTTCTATTTCTATTTTTTGTGGAGGCCCTGGGTCTGTAGCCCCGGATGCCCTCCCCTAAATCCGGCAGAACCTCCGACTTTTCCGGCCCAAGTCAAGATTTTTCAATGGAATCCTTTATATTTTTTTACAGAGTTGGATTGAGCTTGACATTTCCTTCGATGACATACCAACCAGAGCTAGTCATACTCTTTTGTCTTTAATTGCGGCGTAGGAAGAAGTATTTCGCTCAAATTCAATACTGCGATAATCTTTATGTAATAACTTGGGTACATCTTCCTAAAAATCAGTAAAAACAAAGAATAATGATAGTTTTCTGATTGATTTCAACACATATTTGAGAACGTATGGATTTGCCTTGAACACTGATGAAAAAACATGCATAGTTAACTGAATCGCTTAGTTGGAATTTCTTTACTACCGAATATCAAAAATATTTTTATTAACAACAACAAAACATCTCCATTTTCTACGAAATACTTTGCTATTTTCCCCCCCATTATTTATCACTAATAACAATTTCATTCGACAAAACTATTACCAGTTGCTATCCATTCAATTAATCAAAGTTCCTTGTTGTTGTGAAGAATCCTTATTCTACGGTATAACTATTAATAACTGTCAATTTTCCACAACTAATATAACATTTATTAAAAATTGTCTATTATTATTCACAGCAAAAATGTGTTAGCCATAACTGATGAAAGTTAAGCTGCGCTATTCGGACTAAATCGGAACATTTCGAGACCTATAGAAGCAAAAATCGCGGTATCGTTTCCATCATTTTATTTCGATATGACGAAGGTCGTCGTTCCTGAGCGCTTTGACTGAAATTTAGATTTTTTTGTGGTGCAGCCACCTACCTATGATCATTAGCGACTCTTCTGAATTGAATATCCACCAGTACTTTATTTTGTCACGGATAATTCACATATTATGTTATTGCTTGGAACAACCATCAATAAAACGAGTTGTATATTTTAAAGATTATTTCACTCATTATTTCATTGATAAAACAATAATTTGATGTAGTGTTTTCATTCGCAGTTGATGGTGCGTTATGCAACTAACGATGCATCGAAGCGATGTCACTCAACTCGAGAGGTTAATTTGATATTATAAGTACCTATCATACTTTTGGTTGAAGTTTAGTGTCGAGTGTTATGTATCTGAAAATATTATTACATTCATGACAGCCCACTGATGGTAAATATTTGAATTATTAGAACTAACTACCAAACTACCCAGTATCCAATCAGAAGTCGAAATACAAAAACGAAAACATGATGATTTCGATTATCAATAACCAATAAAAAACGTGTATTATGAAATGAGTGGAATAATTGGAAAAATATCAGCCGTCTTTCAAATCTGATTGGTCTATCAGATCAGCGTTGCGTATTTCGAACGATGCAACGACATCAATCGAATGACGCCTTGTAAACGATTTAGTAGTCACCCGGTATATTTATATTTCACGCTATATCGAATTTCTTTCGAAGATTCTTTTGTGGTATGCAAATGATTAAACTTCATAACTTGACGTAATTATGTAACCGCAATCTGCTATTATTGTTATTGTTTGGCGACAGAAGAGAGATGTATAAATAACTAGCTGCGTTGTGATTTTTAAAAGCATTGTTAATCTGATCTACCTCTTAGAACCATCTGATCGACCATTGCAATTATGTATTTTGCTTATTTATTGTTCCTGATATTGTATTCTACTGGTCAGTGCTTGGGTGGTTGTTATGAAAATCACGATGTTCCCAGAAGTGCTCGAAAAGTAAGTGAATATTTCTAATAATTTTTATGCTATTATTCACATTTTACATTTCATGGAAAATGAAATTTTGTGTAATAATAATACTTCATCGTGTCATTGTGATATCAGATACGACAGTAAAATTGAGGACATACAAAGTATACCTCATTGATTTATCGAATACAGTAAAACAAGAGCGATTTTGTGTTATAGCCGTAGAAAAAAGACTATTTCTTTCAATAAAATTCGACACCTTATTGTATCTCCAGAGTGAAGCTCTCTAAAACATAAAATATGAACTTTTCTTTTCATATGTAAGAGTTCTATCGCCTATCAAAATTTTCCGATTACGATCTGAAACACCCTGTAGATGGGAGATAGATAGGTACCTACCCACTTAGGTACCTATCTAATTCAGCTACTGTCTCAAAAAAACACAATATGTATATGAGTATACAGAGTGATTCATTAAGAATGGACAATCTCTGAACTACAAATAGCGAACACATGGAGATTTTAGCAAACATGCCTTATACAAAAATGTTCAAGGGAAAAATTTTGAATCTCTCCATAACTATGTTCAAACATTTACTTACTCTGTTGTTGGCGTTGTTAGTGATTGTCATCATTGATTACTGCATTTTTTCCACTGGTCCACTCCCACTTTGTTAACTTTATAATTTAAAATAATAAAAATGTCATGATCGAGACACAAACGTCTTCAGCGAATAACACAAAACCTGTTAGAGCTAGACAATTTGAAAACGAGTACATTTTTTATGTAAAATTGAACGCTTTCAGATTATTGACTGATTTCAATCATTTCAATGGACAAACAAAATATGAAATAATTGACGAAAGTAACAGAGTGTGCTACTATCGCGCTCTATGAGCAATCACAAAATAAGTTCGTATTTCTCAGGTCATCAGAAAATCTGAAACTCCAAAATTTCATTCTCATGCTGTTAAAACTTACAAAGTTATCGAGAAATGTTTGTCCTGATGAGCCAGCAACATTTTTATTAAGCATGTTAGGCTGAATCTTCATCTCTAATTCAGAGATTTCCCATTCTTAATGAATCACCCTGTATATACCTCTCTAACTAATGTTGTAGGTATGCATACTGTATGATACCGTATACATTCAGTTAGGATATGTTTCCTAGAGATATAAAAATATTGGTCTCAAGTAAAATAGATTCAACAATCATTGTGGTCTTGATAAATGAAGTAGCATAACCGCCAGATTGCACTCGGTGTTAAATGTGATACCTATCTTCCGGGAAGGAAGAGGTTCAAGGTACAAGAGGTTTGTACATACGAAGTTTATATTGGTTTGAGGTAAGAGGTTGTAATTTTCCATGATGAAATAGTGAATATTCGGTTCCAACGACAATACAGGGTTTCTATGAATGATCGTAGCAACGCAGTGGCTGTCGAAATAGTTCTTTGATTCGCCGCCCGCCTCTACATATTGGCAATCTTAGAAAAACTTACAATGCATTCCCTGCATAATGTGCATGTATTATACAACGTCTCACGGTGGGACGTATACGGAGAATTGGAGTAATTTGGAAATTTTGCTACATCAATAATAAGCGCTCGTGATCTAACAATTAAAATTATTTTCAGCGATGCATCGTTGCTACTTTATACAAAAAAAGTGATGAGACACTCTGTATATATGATATCCATCTCAAAAATGGTTTACGAGTTACTATTTTCCATATTTTTTGTTCGGAATAACCTAGTATTCTTCAATGTTCATGTTATAAAATCTAATATACAAAATTCTCCTGTCCCAGTCATGGTGTTAGTGGCCGAACTCCTCCGAAACGGCTCGACCGATTCGTATGAAAGTCTTTGTGCGTATTCGGTAGGTATGAGAATCGGTCGTGATCTATTTTTCAATTCAAAAATTCAAGATGGCGGATCCAATATGGCGGACGAGTATTGTTATCCGATTTCATTCAAAATTGGTATTTGGGTGTTGTCGGGGTCGGAGATTATGATTCTTTCGTCAAATTTTGGAAATTCAAGATGGCAGACGAGTTTTGTAATTAAGGTCAGATTCCATTGCATGTTGGTATCTGGTGGTTTTCGAGGTCGGAGATTATGATTTCTTCATCAAAATTAGGAAATTCAAAATGACGGATCCAATATGGCGGACGAGTTTTGTAATTATGGTCAGATTCTATTCAAAATTGGTATCTGGGGGTTTTCGAGGTCGGATATATTATGATTTTTTATCAAAATTGGGAAAATCAAAATGGCGGATCCAATGCATGTTGCGAACGAGTTTTGTAATTATTATGATCCAATTATATTCAAAATTGGTTTCTGGAGGTTTTAGAGGTTGGAGATATAAATCATTAGTCAAAATGGGGAAATTCAAAATGGCAGATCCGATATGGCGGACGAGTTTTTTAATTATGATCAGATTCTATGCAAAATTGGTATCGGAGGGTTTTCGGAGTCGGAGATAATGATTCTTTCATGAAAATTTGGAAATCCAAGATGGCAGATTTAATATGGCGGACGAGTTTTGTAACTATGATCCGATTCCATTCCAAATTTGTATCTGGGGGATTTTGGGATTGGAGAATATGATTCATCAATATTAGGAAATTGAAGATGGAGGATCCAATATGGCAACTGAGTTTTGTAATTATAATCCGATTATATTCAAAATTTGTATCTGGGTGTTTTCGGGGTCGGAGAAGAATTAGAAAACAAAATAATAAAAGTATGTTGATAAATATTCAACTGAAAAAAATGTTCTAGTAATAATGTTATATAGCAAAACAACGTTTTTCGGGTATCAGCTATTGTAGTAAATATTAGTTTGAAAAACTAATGAAACACCTTTTTGAAGATAGCCAAACTCATGAGAAGTGAGTAGAAAATAAAGAGTAGTTTGAAGAAATGAAGAGGAATGGAGTACAGAGCTAAAAAGAAGTAGAAAATAAAAGAGTAGTTTGAAAAACTACAGAATCCCGCTTTTATCGATTGACAAACTAAAAAAAAGTAGAAATAAAATTAAAGTTTTTTGATAAATATTTATGTAAAAACATTTTTTCTAGAAATAATGCTAGTATATAATATATACAGGGTGTTTCATTGGGAAAGGTAAATAATTCAACTGTGGATAGGGGTCACTGAGGTGATTTCAAAAAACCCATGGTTGATGGGTCTTCGACTTCTTATAACCGAGAAATTTTGATGTTCTTCTCAGATATGGCAAAAAATGAGAAATTCGAATGTATAGGGTGTTGTTTTCTGGCAGAAAGAATTTGTGAATTTCAAGTGAAGCCGGACCTGGATTTTATCTTTTGTTGTTGCCTCAATCAATTCCACAGGGTGGATTGAGCAAGTATACCAATTTTTAAAAATATATACAGGTTGGTTGGAAAGTTATGAGACAATGAAGATATATGGACAAAATTGATGAAACATCCTGTATCTCGGTTATAAGAAGTCGGAGACCCATTAACCATGGGTATTTTTAAATCACCCCAGTGACCCCTATCCACAGTTGAATTATTTACCTTTCTCAATGAAACACCCTGTATATATATATATATAGATCAATTAATGAAAACATCCTGTAACTCATTTGTTTACTGACATCATCACATCACTCATTCATATGTCAACATCAGTATGATAGTAAGAAGTGTCAAACCAGAACAGAATTTTCGAAGAAAAATATTTCACATTTTAATGTTGAAATCGGCAGCAGATTCGTTCCCGAAATGTACAAAGATAAGTAAAAATTTTGCATTTTTTCAATATATATATAATTCTTCTCTTCAAACTTTTTTCAAACGAAGTGTCACCGACAAGCTATTGGATTTTTCTTTTAGGCTCCCTGATAGAAACATTTGTTAACGCAGTGACATTCTGGGGCGAATCATCTGATTTGTCCTACTATATACACATATATCGGATCAATATTCATATTTTTGTTTTGTACAAACCATGAGAGAACATCCCGAGTAATCAAGTAAAATGAACAGCTGATTCCACTTTTGCAAATCGAACTTGCTTATCAGAAGTCAACCTGTTTGACGAGCTGTTTGACGCTATTTAGGATCCCATAATTGTCACGATAAATCAATTTGAAACCATTCCGTATTTGCATGGTAACTAGCACGAAAACAAATCGTTAGTAAATTGATTGCCACCATCAATTTCGATGACAATAACGTATGACACGTTTTTACACAGTGTGTGCCGTTTCTATAGAATTTTTGAATTCTGTCACATCGTTTCTATTATTAAAAATATGAGTATTAATCATTTTTGTGTGGTGAGATCAAATCAGATGATTTGCTCAAAATGTCACTATACTGTGTTTAGATATATCACTATTAGAAAACCTGAGAGAGAAACTCGCGTTGTTTTGAAAAATACTTAATTATTTAAATATAAGTAGAAAAATTTGATTAATTGGAAATTATTCTTCTAAATGATTTTTTGTTTCACTTTCTGATGCTTTTCATGTGACAGAAGTTGATTGAAAGTGTGTGACTAATCGGGCGATTTTTATTTTGTTTTTGTTCCAGACTTATGGTGAATGCAACAGTTTTTGTTATAAACAATATAGGTACATTTTATGTCACAAGAAAGTTCTGTCATTAATTTTCAATTGGAATGTTTATACAGCCCTTTGTCATGAGTTCTAAGTGAAAGTTTTAGTCATAAGTCTTAAGCATGGTCATAAGCAATAAAACTTGCCCAACATTTCTCTATTAAGCGTTAAAACTTTTGACTAATGACTTTGCTTTGCGCATGTGTCATGATCTACATACTGTAATGTTGAAGGTTTGTTATTCAAATTTATTATCATTATTAAATCAATATCAAAATGAGAACTCATTATTCATGATAGCTGAATGATGAAAAAATATTTTAATATCCAAATATACAGTCTGTCCAAGATAAGGTTGCACAGCATGCTGGGGATCTCGGAAACGGTAGGAGATACGAAGTCTGTTAAATGGGGAAAAAGTTGCGCATTCGGAGGCTCATACCAACAGCCTTCGAAAATCTTCAAAATTTCTTTTAGTTTTTCAGTTATATCGAAAAAAGTGAATTTTTGGAATCTCTATTTTATTTTCTTTCTCCGTTATTATTAGAGATACAGGAAAACTGAAAATACTTTTTCATAGCAACTTTTGATGACGTTTAACGTGGTGATACCGATTTTTCTATGCGACGTTTCGTATTCGTAGAACCATCATCAACTTTTGTTTTTTAAATACGGCCCTGATGATTCTTTCACAGATTCTGAAAGCTTTTTTTATTTTGAATTCAACCATGTATTATACAAGGTGGTTTGAATGTGTTTCGAACTATTTTTAGCCATCATGCTTTTTTCGAAATTCCAAAGGAAAAATGCCATCAGTTCCACTTATTTTGGAGGAAAATTAGCCAACAAACTAATACCTCATCAACTAGTTCCGATTGATAGACTTGTAAGAATAATTAGTTCGAAAAATTTAATTATGACAAGCTCCTTCGGATTAAAATATGAATACAATTCATAAACAATTCGAAGCGCTGTATTGAATAATTTAGTGGATTTTTTTTTCACTTTTCAGTATTGAATAACTAGTCCATCAATGTTTGACACTGAATAATCAGAAAAAAACATTGATGATGGCTAAAAATAGTTCGAAACACATTCAAACCACCTTGTATAATACATGGTTGAATTCAGAATAAAAAAAGCTATCAGAATCTGTGAAAGAATTATCAGGGACGTATTTAAAAAACAAAAGTTGATGATGGTTCTACGAATACGAAACGTCGCATAGAAAAATCGGTATCACCACGTTGAACGTTATCAAAAGTTGCTTTGGAAAAGTATTTTCAGTTTTCCTGTATCTCTAATAATAACGGAGAAAAAAAAATAGAGATTCCAAAAATTCACTTTTTTCGATATCTGAAAAACTTAAACAATTTTTGAAAATTTTCGAAGGCTGTTGGTATGAGCCTCCGAATGCGCAACTTTTTCCCCATTTAACCGACTTCGTATCTCCTACCGTTTCCGAGATCCCCATGCTGTGCAACCTTATCTTGGACAGACTGTATAATAATAATTGATGAATACGAGAATATAATTTCACCGGGTTGCCTATCGAAATGTGCATGGCCGCAAGTATTTTTAATATTAATTGATCATTATATACGATCACGTTGTTTTGAAGTGCGTAATACACGGCATTGTATTCTTTGTTGTTAATGTCAAGCATATATTAAAAAAAAATTAAGAAGTGTAAGTAAGTAAGTAAGTAAGTATTTTTCATAAGACTTGCACAACAAGTATAGAAATTGTCAATTTAGGATAAAAACTGTAATAATATTAAAACTAGACACTATAGCCCAAGATCTGGGAGAGAAAAAAAAACAGAACAGACATAGAACAGTTTACAAATAATTATGTATAAAACAGAAGTACTCTAAGACGAATGATACAAATTAAAATGAATCATCAAAATATTCCATGAGAGAGTAGTAGCTTTTATTTTTGAGGAATAATTTGCACTGTCTTTTGAATAGAGGATTCTTTAGAACTTTGAGTGAGTCAGGCAAATGATTATATATTTTGAGAGCTGTTATGACTGGACCTTTTCTAATCTGTGCGAGTGAAGCTGGAGGAATGAATAGTTTATTTGCATTTCTTGTTGTATAATGATTAATATCACCACATGTTTTAACATTTTTAATATTATCGTAAAGTAAAGTAGTTTTTTAGTTTTAATCTTCTCCTGAAGATGCTAACATAGTTAGCGAAACACGTGTCGAAGCGTTAAAAAATCGGTTTGGTTAGTGGTAAAACAGTGTAGTGTATTATCGTGCCAAAGGTTCCAGTCTTCGATATAACATTTATGATATATTAATAATTTCATTTTCAATGAATCTCAGTTGGCTGTATAATTGTCGTGCTGCACTGGGGGAATTGAGTGAGTGAAATCGGTTAACCGATAAGAAAGTACAAAGGTCTTACTCTCAAAGTGAGACACACTATATAGGTACCCTCACAAAATAATTACTGCAGTTGAAGAATTGATAAAATAGACATTTGATAAAGTGGGTACCTACATGTACCTACTTATTTAAGCATCAATTTAAAATACCTACCAATATAAATACTGAACTTATAGTTATTGTAATCAGCTCTGGCTGAAAAATATCAGTTGAAAGCAGGTGTACTGTAATAATAATATATAGGCAGTGCAAGTGTAAAGGGTCAATCAAGTAGCTAGTTAAAATGTATTTTGCTGCATTTCTACTGTTGGTTATTGTACCCAAGTCTTATGGTGATGAAGATGTTACAACGGTAGGTACCTATAATAATACAAAACGTTTTTTTTTTACAATTCATCACCAAGACTCGACATGATTTTGGTTTTTGGGGAGAAACATTTTTTACGGTCAAGCCAACTAATTAATATATGTTCCTCCTCCTAATCTAATAATGAGTCATGATTCATTCAATCATTGAGCAGGAGCTCTGCTGACTTTTGTTTGGCAATTATTAGTCATCGACGATACCCAGGTAGCACATCATATTGGCTGGAACCCGATTCCATATCGGGCCGATATAGATATATCGTACATGTGAAAAATAATATAGGTCCAATATGGGAGTATATTGGACAAACAATATTGGGATGATAATATTGGTGGAATATTGGTTCAACCTGAGCTGAATATTGATTGTCAGCTACAATATTGGAGCAATATTGGTTGTAAAATTCGTTAACAATGTGTTGAGAAACATATCTATGAATGTTATATAATATTGTTTCATGAATGTCGATACAACAACATCGTATACATATCGTTCCCGACATTTACAAGCAATATTGCTATTTGAACATTCTCCCCATGTCGATTCTGAAGCGGTTATGCAATATTGTATATTCAAGTTAAACGGCATATCGGTTGGATATTGTTTTAACAATATTTGAAACATTATATTCACCCATCTTGATTGATATCATTTTATCTATATCATGCGGAAGATATCGTTTACAATCTGCTTCTTACATTCATAACCAATATCGCGATTTGAATATTGTCTCCATGTTGATTCTGAAGCGGTTGTGCACTATTGTATATTTAGTTCGACGGCATATTGGTTGAATATTGTTTCAACAATATTCGAAATATCATATTCACCTATCTTGATTAATATCATTCTATCCATATCATGCGAAAGATATCGCACACATATTGTTTCCAACAACTATAACCAATATCGCAATCCAAACATTCTCCCCATGTTGATTCTGAAGCGGATATACAATATTGTGTAATCGGATTCGACGGCAAATTGGATGAATATTGTTTCAACAATATTTGGAACATCGAATTTACCTATATTGATTGATATCATGCGGAAAATATCGTATACATATTGTTTCCAACAATCATAACCAATATCGCAATTTGAACATTCTCTCCATGTCGATTCTGAAGGGGTCTTCAATGATTCGAATATGAATATCAATAACGGCAATTCAATATATTATCTTATATCGGACATAGAAGAGAAAAACAATATTGTATTTTCAAGTTCAATTGCAAATCGGGTGAATAGTTTTCTAGCCATATTCAGAAAATAATATCATCTTATATTGGCTGATATGTGATTCACTATATCATGTGAGCAATATTGTTCACATATTGTTTCGAGAATACATATCGATATCGAAATTTCGATATTTATTCCATATTACGCACTCCCAAACCGATGTCGATAGATGGCGCTATAAATGATTGGTAACGTACTCCCATTGCCGATCAGACGAGAGAATATAAATATTGGCTCTAGACGATTGTAAAGTATTATAACCTAGAGTAGGGGTTAACCGTGATCAACGAGGCGGCTTCCCCAGGGCAAGGCCCTCCCATTGCACTCCGGCTGGGCTGACCTTTGTGATTATTCCTGATGCGAATAACTTGCAAATATTGGTATGAAAATATTCCACCAATATTTTGAAGACAACATAGCTACATAATGATTTTCAATAATGTACCAATATTTCCAATCAATATTGCACCAGTATTGTCAATTGTTCCTGTCAGCATTTATCAGCAATATTGATATCACATTTTGTGACCAATATAACTTCACGAATATTCCAGCAATATTGGTATGAGAATATTCTACCAATATTTCTGAGACAACATACCTTCATGATGATTAATTTTTCGCCAATATTGATATGAGAATATTCTACCCACATTTGGAAACTGATATTGTACCAATATCGCCAAATGTTCACATTTTTTTTCTCGCCAATATTACTTTCACAATATTTTGCCGATATTTTCGTAATATTGCACCGATATTGTCCCAATATATGTGTGCTACTTGGGTATGAATACGACATCAGGAATATTTGGTATATGTATAGGTACAGGGTGATTCACCATAAATGTCCCCCCCTCTAGCTCATTTATTTTTGAACCGATTTAAGAATTTGGAAAATCGTCTAAAATGATTTTTCAGAAATTTTTTTCCCTTTGCATCAGAAAATACAGGGTGCTCGGACCAAACGATCTACAGAGTACTACTTGATTTTTTCAAATGAAACACCCTGTATTTCATTGTATTTTTAGATTCTCCCTGAAGAGCTGATTTCATCAATGTATCAGCCTTGGGGTCTAGCGAAAATGATTACAGAGATATAGGGTGTTCAAAATCGAGATTTTTCAACATTAAGATTTTTCTGTGACGAAACTATTCATTATCGGTCAAAACGACTTTCATGTCCGTATCTCAACTTTTGATTCACTATCTAATGACATTTAATAATTGGAACAGATACAGGGTGATCAGAATTCTGAATCTTGAATCACACTGTATATGTTCCAATTGAATGTCAGTAGATAGTAAATCAAAAGTTGAGATAGGGACATTAAAGCCGTTTTGACCAATAATGAATAGTTTCGACACAAAAAAATCCTAAAGTTGAAAAATCTCGATTTCGAACACCCTATAACTCTGTAATAATTCCCGCTAGACCCCAAGTGTGATGCATTGATGAAATCAGCTCTTCAGGGAGAATATAAAAATGCAATAAAATACAGGGTGTTCCATTTGAAAAAATCAAGTAGTACTCTGTAGATCATTTGGTCCGAGCACCCTGTATTTTCTGATGATTTTTCAAATTTTTAAATCGGTTCAAAAATAAGTGAGCTAGAGGGGGGGACATTTATGGTGAATCACCCTGTACTGTACTTAGTGGACAAATCCCTCATAAAAAGTTAACCGTAGACACGTATATCGGGCTCTTGGCCCTCATCAGTACAGTGAAAAAAGTGCGAACGATAGGCAACACTTGGTGGAAGACGAAACAACAAAATAACGGAGTCAAAAAACAGAAGCCAGCCGCACAATAATTGTGGTTTCGGTCAGAAGACCTCGAGTATTCAAGGAAACAACTAACGTCATCACTTTTCCTTCTTCATTGTTAACAACATTCCCTTCAATATTCCTTTCTTCATGTTTCCAGCAAGTGTTGCCTATCTTTCGCACTTTTTTCACTGTACCGATGAGGGCCAAAAGCCCGAAACACGTGACTACGGTTAACTTTTTATGAGGGCTTTGTCCACTATTTCCTTCTCCATTGTTTACAACATTTTCCTCAATATTCTTTTCATCATATGGGTACTTATACAGGGTCTTCCAACAAAAACTTGACCGCCCTATAACTAAATAACCGAATCTTTTACCTACCAGAAATCGCCAAGACCCGTCGATTTTTATACTTGGCGTAGAAGTTTCAGATGCTTATTTACTGAAAAAATCAATTTCTACGCACATGAAATGATATTCATCATAATCATGATATGGAATTTAATTGCCCAATAAAGCTATGTCAACGTACGTACAGTCGCATTAAAAAAAAGCGTACAAGTATATTACAGAGAGAAATTAACGTCATCCTATTCTGCATAAAACGGGCTATCGGGAATGATTGTTCATCAATGTTGACAGTAAAGTTGTCATAGGTTCTCGAAAACACAAAGCTTTGGCTGAGCCGCAGTTTTACACAACTAGAACTAGGATCCCGAAATCCTCTCTTTTTAATACCTAATTGTACGATTTATTATTGAATAAGACTGTACGTTGTTAAGTAAAATCTCAATAGCCGTTTCAAAGTTATGAAGCAAAAATGATTCAGAGCCGTCTAGGGCCCAAACTGAGCAACTTTGTACTTTCAATGAAGGTTTTCGGTTTTTAGAAATTAATTTCGAAAGAATTACCTTTTCAAGTATCGAAAAGCAACTTTGTGAACACTTCAAAAACTTTAAACTCCGGTAAAAACAAGTTCTTCTGAAGACACAACAGGAAGTAAAGTGCACTAGTAACTGCTGTTGAACATTCTTCATGCAGAGTTTTATTTGTGCTTTGACTGACATTCTTATCGCAATTGTATAACCTCTTAACAGATAAAAACGAGACATCAATTATACGTACAGAGTGATTGGCGGGGAGTGCCACATAGCTCTATATGTAAGTTGGCCATCCATAAACAGGGTAGGTATATCTACTTTGATGACTGATATTTCAGGAATGAATCATCGTACTTTGCTGAAATTTGGCAGCAACGTAGGTATCTCTAATAAAGAAACCATATTATGAAAAAAGTCCAGAACCAGACTTGGCTATGTCAAGAAAGTTAACTTCGAGATAAGATAGCGCCATAAGACCCACTCTTGAAGTTGCCTTTGTTGAAAAATTTCAAACGAAAACCTTGGATGGTTATTCAATTTCGACCTGGTAGATAACTCTTCTTAGCTGAATTATATGCTAATTTTTCAATGTAGCAATTGATAGGAGCGAGTAGTTGAAAGTGATAACCATAAAACCGATTTTTTTTAATGACCTTAAAAGAATGCACAGAATTTATAGTAGGGTATATTTTGAGCGTCGGAATTTAGATGTGATAGTTTATCATTAGTTCAAATCACATTTTATTTCATGCCTAAGTGCGCTTACTGGTAAGTAATTTTAATTAATCAAACAAACCCAGCAAAACAACTTTGGTTTTCCAAATTTTTTGAGTCCGACCAATAGTTTTCGCTCTACGGCACGCCACAGTTGGGGGTACTTGCAATAAAAAAAAAAACTATTTTCATCGTGGATTGAGACAAAGATAGCTATCAAACAATTCTGTAATATGTTTTTTGTCATAAGAGTGAAATTTTGTAGGTCGGTATATTCCTTATTTAATGCACTTTATCGTATGTAATAAAATATATGGTTTTTTAAAGCGTGCTCCTACATTACTTCGATGACAGCATTTTTTCAATAATCCTGATCTACGGTCAATATTTCCTCATTTTCAACCCTCAACTCCCAACTTTTTACTTTTGTGCAAACATGATACGAGCAAATATAATTTTTTCTGTGACGGGAGAAAAGTTTGACAATTCATTTCTTTTGACAGGTTATTATGTCACTTCACAAATTACTTTTAATCCAGGGAAAAAAGTGAGTACTTTTTTGCCGGATATATACAGGGTGGCATTGAAATAATTGCAAATATTTCAAACACTGAGAAAGCTCGACGTGTACTATCGAATGGCACTAATACAAAAAATATAGGGATCAAAAGAAAATTTGAATTCTGATTTTGTTAAGAAATGTAAATTACCCCCCAACATTGGCGCGCCGTAGAGCAAAAACTTCAATTTCGGAATCGATAAGGTATATTTCGAAAAAAGTAATCTCGATTTCAGAATTGGTTAGTTCGATTTCAGAAATGGTAAACTCAATTTCAGAATCGGTGAGATGAATTTCGGAATAAGTCCATTCAATTTCAGAATTGGTAAGTTGTTTTTCAGAATTGGTAAGTTCAATTTCAGAAAGAAGAGTTCAACTTGAAATGAATAATCCTGATCACACATTCACTACCGTGAATTGAAATAACTCACTGTATAAATCTCAGTTCATACGATGATGAGGTGCAGTTAATGTCAGTTTGACATCCTATCAATTAGTATTCAGTAGAGCCACAAGGTGTGATGGAAAATTAAAATAATATGAACAAGAGACCAAGAAGACGTTATGTCAAAATTCCTGATGCATTTTTATAATCATGTGCAATATTGTAATATAGTTTGTTAATTTCACATGCAATTAAAAACATTTCAAACAAATATAAGGATTTATTTTCTGAAATTGATCCTACCAATTCTGAAATACAACTTACCTTTTCTGAAATTGAATGGACATTTTCTGTAATTCATTCATTCACCGATTCTGAAATTGAGTTTACCATTTCTGAAATCGACCTAACCAATTCTGAAATCGAGATTAATTTTCCGAAATATAACTTACCGATTCCGAAATTGAAGTTGAAAAGGTATAGAGTTTTTAGGGTAGGTGAATGCGACATTTCAACATGATTTGCGACGTGTCGGAATTCTAGCGTTTTCAATATAGTCATTGTGGTTTACTTGATACTTTGATCACATGAATTGGTGACGACGGATATGAATAATTCACATTGAAACATTCGAGACGAAGAGATAAGCAGAGAAGAGAATGACAGACGACAGTGTTTGTTTTCATCATTTGCTCCACTTCAGCCACTTTTGAATAATATATTGTATATTCGATATGGTTTCAAAAATTGTGATGCTTGTGAAGATTTTATTTTATCTAAATCAGTATTGAGGTATAAAGGAACCAATAGCAATGAAGTCGCAGATCTGTATAATGTTGAACTAGAAATATGAGTTGATACATGGTTTCACAGGTTTATCAATGTGTGATTAGATCGAAGACATAAGTCAATTATCAAAAATTGAGAAATATATGTTGTGATTTACAAATGTATAATAATTCTGAATGAAATTGGAATAGGAACCTTCATCTATATTCATTATAATGTGCTTTTTTCAGTCTCAACAGATTCTGAATGAATGAAGTCTTCTACGATTTTTTATGTTAAAATGAGAAAATATGATCAAAAATGTCGCTAAATCGCGAATTAAGTTCCTTCACGAATTTCGCCTGCGGCTTCTGGCGGGTTTTTCCTTACTTTTTGCGACATTTTATGTTCAGTAGCTGGCTATACTGATAGCATTGCCAAGCTACATTTCATGAAAGAGATTTCATTTGAGATTTGCTTTTTTGTGGGATTATGCCTAGATCGCTCTGATTTTTTTGGGCTTGAATAGTGTATCGATTTCATTGTCAATTATTGATAGGCAGTGCAAAATATCTTATAAACATGTTTACCAGCGAAGTAGACACCAAAGACATAATAGAAATGATCTGATCACCCTGCTAATGGGTCTTTATCTATGTAAACACCATAATTTTCAAGGAAATGCTCATATATGACGGATGTCGAAACCACTGTTACAACTGTCACATTTAGGGACAACCCAGAGGAAATTCAGAATTTGATGAAAACATTGAATAGCTTTAGGTTAGGTTTCATGTGACTGGGACAAATAACGCCCCTCCACTGAGAGGTTACAGTCCACTGTACACTCGTCTTCAACGAACAAGTCGCGGTTGGACGGTATGAGCGCTCTTATAGCAGCGGTGATCATGGACGTATAAAAAATCTTTGTTTATACGTCCATGGCGGTGATCAAGTTAGCTGACACCATTCATGTGCGATATGATCTCTGAAGACGACTGTACAATCCACTTCTTTTTACAAAGTCCATGGTTGAATGAGTAAAGATTAGCTGAAGCCAAATATGTCGAACCTTAGTCTCTCTAAGCAAAAGCATGAACATAGTATGTGTTCAGCCGTTTCGTCTTCCCCAGATCCATCCTTCCTAGGTGGTGATTAACTGACTTAGAGGACAGTGTCCCATAACCCATAAGCAGTCCTTTCAAAATTCGCAGGTTACCCCTGCTCCATTCTAGGATCTGCCTGGTATTTTCTTTCGTTTGCCCAGTCCGATATTGTTGTTTTGGCCGCATTTGCGGAGACCCCAAAGTATGGTTCTGGTCCTATGAATAAATTCCCTTTGGCAGAAGACATATGGAGAGTCGTATCTTTCAATTATCTATACGATACCAGAATAACTTCAGACAAAAATATTCATTCAAAACAAAATGGCCAGTGATAATATTTGGAACCTCATAAAAGGATCCATTCAACTAGATGGCTATATTCACTTCTTCTCGTGTAATTTTCAACTCAACTCTTTTGGCATCTAGAAAAGTTATCTATCCAGAAAAATGTCAAAAGGGAGTCATCCTTCAGGAAGGATAAGATGAGGTGTTGGATTATTTTTAGTTTTCAGGAATACTTCTTTAGGAAAATAAGAATTCCAAAGCTTTGCCGCAATTTAGACTAACGACTTTTGCGAGACAGTTGTTCTACATTTCTGGTATCAGACTTTACCCCGTCCACCACCATATGGAGCGACCTGTCTGAATAGAAGGAAGTTTGTGAAGGACTCAACAGATAGAGATTCCTTATGATTTTCTAATGTGGCTTGCCATATATGCGTAATGTAGGCAAGTTCCACAGTAAATCGCCGATGGCAAAATATGATCTGGTTATCTGTCAGGTCAAAATTGAAGATACCATTTCAAAAAGTTTTTTTTCTGATATTTACTCAACCATTGGGAGTGTGCCGTGCCAATCAAATAGCAATTCCATTAGTGTTTCGTCTGATCTTTTCGAATCTGATACGGAGTCAACTTTTTTGAGACAGATACCAATGAAAAATACCATCTTGTCTGCCCGATTCTGATGATGAAGTTGTGGTTTTCTGATAGGATATATGAACTTGTTTCATCACCAGTTAGGCTAGAGTATGGTCTATGATTTGCCGGTATATACATACTTATTCATGTGTGATATTTTATCAACTATGCAGAACAACAAATACTGGGTAGCATCGAATTCGGATAATTAGTGATATTAAGATACATTCAATATTTTCATCAAATTGAATTAATGATATGTTGATACAATTTGCTCGGACATTTTGATTTAAGATTCACTACTTAACAGAAATATTCGAAGAAAAACTATAAAGTAACACGTTACTTATATGATTTCAAAGAAAATGCATAGATATACCATTGTCATGTTCATATACTTACTGAAAATCGACAAATCAATGGCATAGTGGAATAATATTAATATCATAGGAAAGGATGATAATAACCAAAATGAAAAAAATCAAGAAATATGCTTGCATTCATTTGAACGGAGACAAAAGCATTGCTTTTTTTCAGTTGATATAGATTGAACATGGCATTCCCTAGGTAATGGATATTGAACATAAAAATGGTAGATTTTTCAAAACGAAGTGTCACTGACAAACGATTGGATAAAAATTTTAAACCCGCGACAGTTTTTGGGGCAAATCATATGATTTGTCCTACTACACGTATATCGAGATAATAATCATATTTATATTCTTTAGAAACGAAGAGATCAAATCCCAAATAATCTAACAAAATCATTGTGATTTGTTTTTATCAACATTCAGTATATGTATGGCAACTAATGGCAAAGAATATTGACAAGTCAGATGACAGTAATTTGTATTTTGAATTGTCATATTATACCTATTGTGTAGGTCCATATTAATTCACACCGAATTAATTCATCAATCTCTCCCTATTTTTTCTGATATCGCTGGTACCATAGAGTGTATCTTTCGAAAAATTTGTTGGAGCAGCCAGCAGCCATGAAAGTAAATGAGTAATTTTTTCCTGAATGAAAAATTAAAAATAAATGGTAGGTTAGGTAGCTTACTAACTATAGTAAGGTTACCTACCTATATACAGGGTGGAGCGATAAGTGAAATGACTTAAAGACAAAAATGAACTGGAAGAAAACTGTTGTTGGAAGATAATGAATTTTTAATTTCACCTTGCATTTTACTGATTAGAGATTAAAAGCTGAACCCGAGCGATTGACGTTAGCGAGGTCAGAAGTATCAGAAATATCAATATCATTTGCAATGTTGCCGGGCGTTCATAATATATTTATAAGCAGATGGTGAGTGTACATTTTTAAATATAGTAAATAATAGCAGATTGTTTCATCAGGATCAAAGGTGACACTTTGTTTGACAAGCGAATTTTGCATTTGCGAATGAAACATGCTATTTTTTCTGCAACCGGAAGAATTAACTAAAATAAATATTTGAAGTAACCACTAATCTGACTTACTTGACAGGTTATTATAATACCTTTATTGTGATAATATAGGTAAGTAGATAGAAGCAAGACCTCAGACTACTTTACATTAGAATATTGGTAGACTATGACATTACTTTGTTTCAATTTGTGTTGAAATGCATCATCAGATACTACAGGAACGAATTCAATACTACACGTGCTATATGTATGCAATGCAACAAATAATCTGTGTGGTGAGAATACTCTACCTGCATTTACAGAACAGGTTCATTCAATTTTCAATATGAATACAACCACAAAGTGACCCATTTGTATAGTTTATTGAATCGATGAATTCATTTGGTCCAGGTGTCAGCCCTAATAGCAAATACCGCGCCAGTGCCAGGTATCGAAAAAAAAAGTGGACAATGTTAGGTTAGTGAGCATATCAACAATAATAATAGCGATTATTTATTTCTCTCCATATTCCACTGTGTTTGGCTCGTTAGCAAACGGAATGTTCACCGACCGATTTGCACAAACGAAGCGGTGTTCGATAGAGAATCGATAGGCCGGGTGCAACGTGTGACCCCTCTTTACATCTGAAAAAAAATAAAAATTTGATGGTGTCCCCTTGATACTAGGCGACGTGACCAGAACAATTTTCATGCAAAAAAGTAGTAACCTAGGTAGGTACCTTTTTACCTGAATTCTACCCGACCTTGCTAGCTTGTTACGTTCAAAATTTAAAGAAGTGGGGGAAGACTTTTTACCTCCTCATTTTATACAGAAAACTATACCTTGTGCCCATAGAGTATCCCTCCTAGTTGACTTTTGATATGAATTTTCATCGGATTTTTTAAATGAAGGCGTCGAGTGATACCTCATTGGAAAAGTCTCCTAATTTTTTATATTATGACATCAGAATTCCAGACGAAACAAAACGGCGGGTGATAATGTTTGAATTCTCATACCAGGGCCGTTTGGAGTAGATTCCGCTGCTAATTTAAATGATTTCATTGTCAACATCACAGATCTATAGTTTGAACAAATTGTTGGACCGTGAGAAACGGGCTTTTGGGTTCAAATCAAATGTATTTATCCTCATATCACCCTGTGGATGCGAAATGTTTAGGCAAGTATTTGAGGGGAAGAGACTATGACTAGTCATTAGCTACCTTAGATATGAATAATAAAACATTCGAGATTTCTCAATGCCCATTCCTCTTTTTTAATGAAGACATTTTTGCAAGGACCACTATAATCAAATACTGCCTGTAGGGCGATGGAGAAGGTGGAATAATCTCAATATTTTCATGATTTTCTCTTTTCTTCACTATAAATCATATTGGTATCATTTCAATATAAGTCCCTGTTTAGCCGTAGTTAGGAAATAGTATTTTGTTTAACGAGCACGAAATGCAAGTTATACACTATAATTTTTCTACGGCTGTAACAGATAACAGTGGCATTTTCGATTTCTTCGGCTTGTAGCCATCTGATTTCCTGTCAAGTAATGCTCAACTATTCTATTAGACAGAGCTGTCATATTGCTTGCAATTTGACATTCCATGAGCGATGAGATTTTTTTTCAAATTCTAACACAATGGAGTCATTGTGATATCAGATACGGAAATAAAATTGACAACATACAAAGTACCTCATTGATGTATCGAACACAGCAAAACAAGAGCAATTTTGTGTTATAACCGTAGAAAAATCATATTATTTGAACAAAATGTCACGTACTACAGGTATATAAATAATATTAATATTTTCATTCATACAGACGAGAAAATCCAAAAAATGTAGAGAAATGAACCACTATATTACTTTCCAGATTTTCAAAGATAATCAGATTGTACCAGATGTCATCAGCGTAGCCCCCGGAAAGTTACTTGAAGTAAAATACAAGTCAAATGTTGAAGTGAAACTGGGCAACGAGTTGCGCCCTAAGCAGGTCCAAGAAGCCCCAGAAGTCAAGTACGAAGCAGACGCAGGTGATTACTACACTCTGCTATTGACTGATCCAGATGCACCGAGTCGCAAAAATCCAACTGTGAGAGAATTCAGTCATTGGCTGGTAAGTTACTTTGAATATCTATTCAGGGTGTCCGGAGATAAAACCGACAAGACTTGTGGGGTTATAGGGACTGTCAATATGATTGCAAAATGACATAAACCAATGTCAAAAACCGCTTCGTTATTGACATACAAAGTGATTTGTGGATTTTGACAAAAAATTCAATCCGCCATATCAAATACAGGGATTAACCGATTAGATTCAAATTTGGTACACGAATTACACTGAAAAGCATCAACAAGTAGCCCTTTGATCGAAACCAATATCAGGACCGAAATGATATTTTCCCCTATGTTGAGTTCTTGTGAGAATAACTCACCCTGTATAATAATAACAAAAAATTTCAACTCAGATTCGACATCTACGGTAAAAATTGTATAGGAATTTGTTGAAAAATCTCTTGGCACTATCATAGTTATTCCGTAATTAATTATTATTTTAAATTTTTTCTTTCAAAATTCAATTATTGTCGGATAAAGTACTATCAAAATTGGTAATATAATAAATATTAACGAAACCATGACATGAATATCGTTATTTTCTTCATGCAATCAGTCCGTAAATCGTAGTAAAATAAAATACTCTCATTACCCGAAAAAACTGAAAAATAAATTCGTATCAGGACTGGAATGCGGTTTTTTATGATTATATTCCTTTAAGAATAGATGATCTAGTATAACAATGATCTGATCGCAGATTCGAAATGCACTGAGAAAAGTTAAAAAAAAAATGATCGGATTGAACTTTCAAATAATAAATCCGTATCAGTACCTTATAATGTTTGTGTATAAAGAATACTAGGCTTGTGTCAAATTCAGAATTTCATTATGGAATACCATTGTTCAGCTGTCATCAGCGTTTGTTTTATTGGTGTTCATTTATTATTCCAGTGTTTTTAGGATCAAACTATAGTTCTGAGAGTGTGCTTATGATGCCGTTTCATTTCACTTATGAGGAATACGCAGATATTCTATTTGTGTTTGGGCTTTAACTGGTGATGTTTACCTAAATTTCCTGGTCAATACTTGACCGGATCTATTGCAAGGTGTAAATACCTGAGGTATATTATGGTTTCAGCATGATGGTGCTAGACCTCACTTCTCAGTTCCAGTTAGAAACCATCTCGATGCCAATTATCCCAATAGATGGATTGGCCGTGGAGGTTCAGTAAATTGGCCACCGCTATCCCCTGATCTAACTCAGCTAGATTATTTTTTATGATGAGGTCATTTGAAGTAAGAAGTTCATAATGAAGAAATTTTTTATGGGAAGTTACTGCTGCATGTGTTAGTGTTAGAAATAACCCTCAAATAATTCGCAAGTCAGTGAATCATCTGATAGCACGCTCTCAAAAATGTATTGATGTTGAAGGGCTCTACTTCGAAAATGTTTTGTAATACTGATGGGTAGTGAAATTTTTTCACGAATTCGTTGCTTTTGTTATGTTCATTACAAACAGTTATTGTTCGTTGTGTAGTATTCTCATAAATTCAAATTCATTAGTGAGCGAATATAATTTACGAAAACTTTACTGTAATCCTTCTTTAACAGGTTCTCATACGATTTTTTTAGATTTCGAATCTACGATCAGATTATTGATAACTATTGATGTACTAGGCCAGCTAACATGACCAAACAAAACACTCATTCCAGTCCTGATACGAATTTATTTTTCAGTTTTTTCGGGTTATGAGAATATTTCATTTTACTCCGATTCATGAACTGATCGAAGAAAATAACGACATTCATGTCATAGTTTCGTAAATATACGTACTTTATCCGACAATGATTGATTTTTCAATGAAAAAAATCAAAACAATAATTAATTACGGAATAACTAAGATGGTGCCAGGAGATTTTTCAACAAATTCCTATACAATTTTCACCGTAGATTGCGAATCTGCGTTGAAATTTTTGGTTATTATGATACAGGGTGAGTTATTCTAATAATAACTCAACATAGGGGAAAAATATTATTCTGGTCCTGATATTGGTTTCGATCAAAGGGCTACTTGTTGACGCTTTTCAGTGTAATTCGTGTACCAAATTTGAATCCAATCGGCTAATCCCTGTATTTTATATGGTGGATTGAATTTTTTGTCAAAATCCACAAATCACTCTGTATCTCAGTAACGAAGCCGTTTTGGACATTCGTTCATGGCATTTTGCAATCATATTGACAGTCCCTATAACCCCATGAATTTTGTTGGTTTTATCTCCGGACACCCTGTATATCTCAAGACTGTAAAAATAATGACAAAAACATATTTTATGTGTCATACAGTGAAAAAGGTGTTGATTTTGCGCAGATTTGCAAACATTCTTGTAAAAATATAGGACTGATGGTTCTAAATATTTCAGTTTCAGTAAATAATTTCATTTCATCATTTCGATGTAGTAACCTAACTAGTTCACTGTCGCAATCAGTTTTTTCTTCAGAGCTCTGTACATTTTTTAAATGATTATTGATCTTATTTCATAACATGACGTAATCATCCGAGAACACCATATAAAATTCGACTTGCGTATCAATTCAAGTGCAAGAATATTTCTGATTGTCATTTCAATCAGAATATGGAATGTATTTGCTGGATTGAATATTTACCTCAGGTAACAGAGAACGAACACAGAACTAAAGAATCAGATTTTGAATATTCGCATCTTGACAAGATGAAACAAGGATTTGACGATGAAGGTGACAGCCGACATTAACGTCAGGAAGTTAGATTGAAAATGTCAATGTAGTTTGTCTTCTTATTTTTTTTTATTTCTGGGAACTTAGGCATTGTTAAACACTCAGTATATTCAACAACAACAATACTCTCTGTCTCATACTTGGGCAATAAATATTCGAAATCAGTTGATAAGAATCATCGATATCAGAAAACAAGTTTGAATTGAAAATTTTCATCCTGTATTTCAATTAGACGAATTTTTGAAGATGTTTCGAGTTAAAAGTTTAATATGAATAAGGGGTATCGAAAAGGCCGTTGTATCAGAATGTATCAGTAATAATTAGTTCGTTATAATAATGATCAGTCCAGCCTCACAATCAACAAACTTTGTAACGGCTGAAAAGCCAAAAGAACCCTACAATAAGTAAGTTCAACATCAGGAAAAGGAATTAATTGGAAATCTACTCAAATGAGCTTCTTCTGACTGCCTTCAAACCATCAAAGGAAAGACACAGAAATGTAAAAATTGAAAGTAGTAATTTGACATTGACAAGACAATATTGACAATTTCAAACACAGAATGAAAAATTTTTTGAATGACAATCAATCATATGAAAAATGTAGCTCGACACCCAAAAGACACTTAATAATGAAAATTCGGAAATTATATAAACATCCAATAACAATGTTGATGACAGAGACACACGCGGAACAGTAATAAGAACTGCCAATCAATATAGAAGAAGATAAACTGTTCATGATGAAATTGAGAGAAGAAGACGAACCAAACTTGTGTCAATCTAGTGAGTACAGGACCGGCTCTAGCTCAGGAAATGCTGTAATGAAAATTAAGAGAAATGTAAAGTACGAAAAATATGATTACGATCAAAATTAGTCTGGTCAATTAATTGACTTTGAGTTCGTTTTTTCTCCTGTTGAAAAATACCGGACCACTTTGAGAATGGATGGTTTCCAATTCATTATCAGTCCACTCGCCCATTCTAAATTTCTGCTTGGTGGAACTACTCTATGTATATCCACGTATATTCGAAATTATACAAGGTAGCTTAGCTCAATTGAAATTCATGGTCACAAAGTGGAGCAATGCAGTAATAATAAAAAAATACTCAAAAACATTTGAGTTCATCTTCAGTATACCTTCGCATAGATATACAATGTCATTCATAAAGTCGGCATCATATGGGAATAACTTTTATTATTGACTTATTTTGGAATTCGAGTTGGACGTTAAGTTTTGCTTCAAAAAAGATGAAAAATGGCCTACTCAATCGGGGTCACGTGACTTTCGCTACATGTCAAAAGTGAAATTTTTTCAAATTAATCGCTGAAAGTAGACTTATTTGCTCGAACATCGAAAAAGTTTACTTGAGAAAGTTGTTTCTATTTCAATTTTAAACATGCTTCCCGATTTTTATCTTTCTACTGCAACTTTTAGATTTTGATGTTTTTTTGAATTTTTCGAAATTTCAATTACTTATTATCACTGATTATGGACAGAAATATGATTTTCTTCAGAAAATGATAATACCCGCTTCCAAATTCTGTTATGTTTGATGCAAAGTTGATATATCGTCAAGCATTTAGAAACGAAGTTCATTTAAACTGATCTTTTCAATACTGAAAAAATGAATTTAAATGAATTTCGTTTCTAAATGCTTGACTCAAACATAACAGAATTTTGATGTTATGTTTGGATCAAACATAACAGAATTTTGAAGAGGAGATTATCATTTTCTGAAGAAAATCATATTTTTGTCGATAATTAGTGATAATTAGTAATCGAATTTACAATTTTTTTAATATTACAGAAATTTCGAAATTTTTTAAAAAATATCGAAATCTAAAGAATGTAATAGAAAGATAAAATCCGAGTCACATAATTATGTAAAATTCAAATAGAAACAACTTTTTCAAGTAAACTTTTTCGATATTCGAACAAATAAGCCTACTTTTAGCGATTAATTTGAAAAAATGTCACTTTTGACATGTAGCGGAAGTCACGTGACCCCGATTGACTAGGCCATTTTTCATCTTTTTTTTAAGCAAAACTTGACGTCAAAATCGAATTTCAAAATAAGTCATTAATAAAAGTTTTCCCCATATGATGCCGACTCCATGAATGACACTGTAGATACAAGATACTCATTTACATGGAAAGTGGAAATTCGTTGAATGAAACGATATTAGTCGAAAATCAATAATGCACTAATTGATTATATTTATTTTATACGCAATAAATACAAATACTTTTGAAATGATTATTTTTGCCACGAATTAATTATTGGAATTTCAATTTTCAGGTTGTTAATATTCCCGGATCGAAAGTATCTGAAGGTGACAATATCAGAGAATATATGGGTTCAGCTCCTCCAGAAGGCACAGGCTTGCACCGTTATGTATTCCTCCTCTACAAACAAAACGGAAAACAGACGTTTGATGAACCCCATCAGGTCGCTACCGATGGAAATCGCGGGAGATTTTCTACTGCGCAGTTTGCTAAAAAACACAATTTGGGAAATCCTATTGCTGGCAACTTTTTCCAAGCTCAGTGGGAGAAGAGTAAATAAACCTCATTGAACCCGACATATTCCTGACAGTTACTCAAAACTTCATCGAAATCTGCATTACTTATACAATACATATTTTCCATTCCACTGGAAATGGTCAAGAAACGAAAAAGTCAAGGTTGAGAGAAAAAATTATATTCTTCTCGATTCCCATTAGATTGAATGTAATTCTTATTGATCATATAAATTATTTATAATAATAATTATAATCGAAACAAATTCCAATTAGTAAACCACAATCATGATATAAAGCAATGAACTTAATTTTTATTAGGAGTAAGAATTGATAAGGTTGGCATCAATAATGAGAAAAAGTTTATATTCACAAGAATGTTATCACTTATTTCAACGAACTTGATTGAATATTATCAATAAACTTCATCCTTCCAAATTTTCGACTAGTTTAAAATATCAATAAATATATTTTCCAACTTGACTTGCTGTTTGATTTGATGATAATTATATAATATAAGTGTGTGAAAAAATCATCGGAATTTCTTGATAAAATACTATCGTATCAGGAAAGTCCACCAATCTGCACCAGTTTTGAACTTCTCTCATATGATAGAATATGCCACTATATCAACGAAATTGCGATTCTGCCACCTCAGGCTGGTCCCTATTTAAAGGAGGAAGGAAAGCTCAAAGTCATCTCCACAACTTTAATATGAAATGTTTATTCAACGGAACATGTTTCGAACTTATAAAAGTCCATCTTCAGCCGTATTTGAGAAATTACTAAAAGTAAAGACATGTGAAAATATACAAAATGTTATGAAAAATTGTTTTTAGACTTACATGGAGGTGAAACATTGTTTGTTTTAACAAAGATGTCGATGCCTCTCATCATGTCATTGATGAGAATAAATAGTTTATGAATAAACGGGTTATCATTAAAAATGAAGGGCCCCGTGCCCTGAGAACGCGCACTTATGAATAAAATCACAAGTCAAGTCCCAGAAGGGAAACTTGACGAACACACAAGGTGCTCAAAATAACCATATTGGTGTATTACGGGAAAAGGGTCCCGTATCCTTGAGAGAGCGCACTTAAAATCAAAAATCAATTCAGAATTGATGGGGCCAAAAGCCAAAAACGTGTTACATCCAACCTAAGGTTAGAAACACAGAATTAATTTCTGTTGGATGTAACACGTTTTTGGCTTTTGGCCCCATCAATTCTAAATTGATTTTTGATTTTAAGTGCGCTCTCTCAAGGGTACGGGACCCTTTTCCCGTAATACACCAATATGGTTATTTTGAGCACCTTGTGTGTTCGTCAAGTTTCCCTTCTGGGACTTGACTTGTGATTTTATTCATAAGTGCGCGTTCTCAGGGCACGGGGCCCTTCATTTTTAATGATAACCCGTTTATTCATAAACTATTTATTCTCATCAATGACATGATGAGAGGCATCGACATCTTTGTTAAAACAAACAATGTTTCACCTCCATGTAAGTCTAAAAACAATTTTTCATAACATTTTGTATATTTTCACATGTCTTTACTTTTAGTAATTTCTCAAATACGGCTGAAGATGGACTTTTATAAGTTCGAAACATGTTCCGTTGAATAAACATTTCATATTAAAGTTGTGGAGATGAATTTGAGCTTTCCTTCCTCCTTTAAAAATTCCACTCCACTTTGAGCAAACATGGACTTCTACCAGAGATTGGTCCCTATTTGTTGTTATTTAAGAAAAACGGGCCAATTTTAACCAGTCTGATCAAGTTCCAAAATGGTATATCCGAGTTTGTTATGTTGAACGAAGTCCTGGAATATCATTCTCCCAGCTTGAAATAGTCTGAAAACCGTTTTGTCAACCCATATTCCGAGAGAAAATAAAAAGTGGGGGCAGAGAACTGTCAAATGTTATAGATTTTTTTATATGTCATTAGGAAGGTACTTCGATGCCATTCAATGTGGTTTTTGAAATTTTCAATTATCTTGCCAATTTAGCAAGATATTGGCTGTATACGATAACTGAAATTGAGGTTGATTAAAATGACATTAATACCAAAGTCGCTCAGTTGATTGTGTTGTATAAACGTATCATTGGAAATTAGACCAAATTTTGTCACTGCAGATTGAACCTACAACGAGCTACAGCATACTCTACTAGTAGTAGAATTAGCAATGAGGTAATAGTACATTACGTAATATGTGTTGTAAGAAGCATATTACGCAAGAATGGAAAAGTTACGCACGCAGTGGCGGAGCGGCGAATGCGTAATTCCATGAGTGCGTAATTGCTTTACAACACGCATTACGAACTATACTTAACCTACTGCCATATAGTACATCGAAAAAGTTTGGACAAACAGTCTGAATTAAAATTCTTGACAGTTATGTCATCCGCTGTTGACGGCGATTACGCGATCATGACTGGCGGAATGAACGAAAACTGTGCGATGTGCTTTATGTGCGTAAAGAGCTACTTACTGAGGCTGTATCTTGTGTGTTCTTGTCTACTTTCTATAGTGGCCGTAGGTAAAACCTATATTCCTGATATTTACTCCATCAATGAATATCAATTCAGTTAAATCGATTCGAACATTGGTAAAATATTTACTGAATAATTCCTTTGAATAAAACAGTTGGCAACACAGGAAAATGGATTATGACGTCAGTACTGGATAGACGAGTTTGCCACCGAACGCTATATGTTTGAACGTTCCATGAAATTACGACGATGTGTATTCAAATAGTGTTTTTTGAAGTAATACAACATATTTTATGAAAAAGTACATATATTCATGTTATATGTTACTATTTTATTTCAGGACATATAATGTGATATGGTTGAATCTAGGTCGAGACAGAACGCTTGAACGTTAAGAACATTTTCGAAAATAAGATACTCATATCAAAAACTATAATCTACAAAGAGCTTATGGTTTGTTATGGTCTGCTGAAAGGTCAACGTATTTATAGTTCATTTAACAGGGTTCATACATTGTTTACAAACATTACGACTGGTATTATTGATGGATTTCCTGATTATCAGAATTAGAAGAAATATCCGGATATTTCCAGATAGCGCCCATAGGTTATTTCTTTCGGAGAATTTTGGTTGTTGCAAATTCATCATTACATAGGATAATTGGAGACCATCTGAAACTAAATCAAACAATTCACGCTGACCATGAATTGAGAAATATTTTTGTGACAAGCATAGCAACATGCAGTTTTCGCTCAGTCTAAATAACAAAAGACATCGTGATTAATTCATTGACCATTAAAAGGACGAGGATAAAGAAGTGCGGAAAATTACAAGAGATGGTTCCTTGTCATATTTCATCAGGAAAAGTTTATATAGTGTCCTGATTTTCTTCGATTTCGAAAACGGGATGTTGAAGATGGAAGCATCAGTTGATTGTTTCATGGTCCCCCTTTATAAAATGTCCTAATGGCAAAATCCAGACTGGTTGGTGACTAAAAAAGTCCCAAAATTTCATAATGATGGTTATTGAGTGATCTAAATGGGGAGAGCACACATATTAAAATTTGGGATCAAATTGAATTTTTATTGTTTCCCCAAAAATTAAGCGCGATACAAAAGTAACAATGTTAATGAGAGAGTTGTATCATCAATCTACTAAACATATTGAACTCCAATGATATTCATCATGAATTACAATAAGGTGACCCACTGCGACGCCACTGGAATTGTTATTTAAAACCTAGATACACCAAAAGAAGCCAATGAAGAAGCTTCGTGTAACTGTCAATACATCCACCAAGTTCCATCGAAATTGATGAAAAGGTTTCTGAGTAATTAATAAAAAAAATAGTAGATTGCTTTACTAGGATCAAAAATGACACTTTGTACGACAAGCGAATTTTGCATTTGCGAATCAAACAAAGTCACTTTTGATCCGAATGAAACATGCTATTTTTTTGCAACCGAAAGAATTTACTAAAATAAATATGTGAAGTAACCACCAATGTGACTTACTTGGCAGATTATTATAATACATTTCTATAATAATATAGGTTAGTAGATGCAAGACCTCAGACTACTTTACATTAGTATATTGGTAGACGATGACTTCACTTTGTTACAATTTGTGTTGACATGTATCATCAGATACTACTGGCACAAATTCAATATTATACCCGAAACGTGGATGCCGTGCCCTAATGCAATAACAGAATTTTCTATGATTTTGAATAATGAATGATAGCATCAAATGTTATTTATATACCTGGACTGATCAATTTAAAATAGGTATGTGGCTTGAATTCGATTAGTGTGTATAACTCCATTGTCGATTTGGCAGCGGTTACAAAGAGATCCTTAGAATTGGACATTAGCAAATTATATCTCTTTCTACCAAGAATATAATTCAAGGATTCGAAAACAATCCATTTGTGGCATTGTAGTTCACAGCCGGTCAATGGTTGATCGGTCAAGGCCGATCTGATTATAATTTATAGGCATGTCAGACGCGAGACGCATGTTCGAATCTTGGCTAGACGCTTGGATTTGGGTTCAGTTATACTCTGTACAATGTTTATCAATCAATAATTCAAAATACAGCGTGTCTCACGTTAAACGCCCCCCCCTGCATATTTCAGCTATTAGTCGTGCGATTCTTACCAAATTTTTACCGGTGCGATTAATATCAATCAATATGATCAGGTTTCCAGAGACGAACATCCTTTTGGACAGTGCTGTGCGTTTTTATTGAAATTCGAATTAACTGCAAATTTTGGAACGTTCAATAGCTCCGGTAGGTAAAAAATTATGATTTGGAAGAAAAGATAAGACATACTTTTTTGTTGAACTCACACCGTTTCCATGTAAATAATTATTAATGTTAGCAAAAATGCTGTTTATGAAAATTCTCATATGGACGTTTGAAACCATGAAGAACAATATTATGTGTTTTCCTGTGACAACTCATAAAAAATTTACTCCTTTTCATTTCGATAAAAACGCACGACACTATCCAAAATGATGTTCTTATCTGAGAAACTGATCATATTGAAGGTCCAAAGAACCCTGCACTTTTTGTAAATAAAATATAGTTGTCGGTGATATTTTCTGAATTTTAGAATAGAACGCTTTCATTTCTAATAAGAACATTTGAAAGTGGGAATCGACAGATTTCTTCACATTTCTTTTCCTACTATTAAATGGAATATTTGAATTCGTCTTGAATTTTCTTCTTCATACACTTCCCACCAACGATAGACTCTTGGAGTTGTGCCCGATAAAGTTTTCTTGTTTTATGAGGATTGAGGGCCGCAGTAATGCTACTGTGACTTGCGTTTGTGGCGTTATAAAATGGA